TGCATCCACTGCTCACCAGGAATAAACTTGTTATTCTGCATCCATGCGTCACCAGGAATGAAATGGTTCTCTGTCTTTGAAGTGTCCCCAGGGCAAGCTGGGTAAGTCCACCAGCCTACCCTAACTCCCAGTCTCCTTTCTCCAATCCATATCTCTTTTCTGAGCCCCAGATCAACTTATTCCTAAGCATCTCACCGCTAGCATCAGATGCTCTACCGACTGAGCCAGCCAGGCACCCTGGCATCATTTATTTTTAAGAAACTTAATTTAGAATAAATTTGGTTTTATACAAAATTGCACAAGATAATGCAATGTTTCCTTATACCTCTCCCCTGGCTCCCCCTTAGGTTAACATCTTACATAGCCACTGTGCATTTGTCAAAAACTAAAACCAATATTGATTAGTACATTAGTATTAGCTCTGACTTTTATTCAGATTTTACCCATTTTCCCGTGAATGTCCTTTTTCTGTTCTGGAATACAGTTCAGGATGCCACACTGCACTTAGCTAGGCACCATTTTTGGTGCCTTTTTCTCCTTCCTTCACATAGTCACTGAGTTGTAGCAGTTTTACTTCCTAAATCTCTTTTAGTAAAACTCCCAAGTATTCTGGTTTATCATTCACCTTCTTTCCTGGACTATTTTAACAGCCTCCTACCTTCTCTACTTTTAATCTTTTTCCTCTCTAGTTCTTTCTCTGTACTCTACAAATTTGACCATCCATACATCTTTTCACTTAAAACTTTGATGGTTTTCCACTGTTTCTAGAATAAAACCCAGTTCTTTAGTTTGACATGTGAGGCATTTCATAATCTTCTCCCATGCTAGCTCCCCAGTTTCTTTTCCCTCTTTCATACTTCATAAAGCCCATGATCCAACTGAATTTCCATGGCCTCAACATACATTTATGACTTCACACCTGTATATGCCCACTGGAAGGGTAAGCATTGCTTCTTGAAATTTTTCTTACAGATAATGTATATGTGTGTGATTGAGTCATAATGCAATACGCTGTTTTCTCATCTGTTTTCTTCCACCAGAGTTAATTTTTTTAATGCCAGCTGTATCCCTCTAAATTGATTTCCTGGAGTTTGAAAAAATTCACTGATTGTTTAACACTCATGCCCGAACTGCTCAGGATGGTCTTCCGATTGGTTCCCATCTGCTTTCAGGTGATTAATACACAGAAAGCAATCTATTCCTTCGTGGGGTAGAGGAGATAGGTTGGAGAAGAGAACAGCTGGTTTGCCTCAGGGTAGGGAAGCTGAGCCCTGACTAGTAAAGAGTTTGGAGAAGCGGACAAGGAACCTCTGAGTGGTGGAGGAGGGTGCTGAGAGAGCTTGAGAAATGCTTGGCTTCCCAGCTCAGCAACAATGGCTGAGCCCGCTCTGCCTGAAGCCCAGAGTCCTTTCACTGTTCTTTGTCTGGGCCCTTTGCGCGACGCAGGCAAAAGTTCTCAGTATCCTAATTGTCTGCTGCTCACTTAGCTCCTCTGTGTGTTAGGAGGTTGTGTTTGACAGGAGAAAGGCCTGCTCAGCCTCACTCACCTAACTTCATGAGGTTTGAAAGAGGGAAGGTGGTCAAAGGCTACTTGTTCCTTCAGGAGCACCGTGATCCTTTAAGACAAATGAATATGGGGCACTTAGGGTGGCTCAGTTGGTTGAGCATCTGACTTTGGCTCAGGTCATGATCTCGCAGTTCACTGAGTTCAAGCCCCATATTGGGCTCACTGCTATCAGTGTGGAGCCCGCTTCGGATCCTCTGTCCTTCTGTCTCTCTGCCCCTCCCCCACTTGTGCTCTCTCAAAAATAAATAAAACATTTTTAAAAAGGTTTAAAGAAATGAATATGAACTCAAAACATTGATGCTTACCTAGTCTAAATACTCTCCATTTAATTCACAGCTACTTGCTTTGTGAGAAAGAAGTCATGTAATCTGTATATACTTTTTCTTTAATCATCATCTACTTTCCGTAGGGGTAGACCCAGTTTGTCAGGGGATAAAACACAATATATTTTGCTGTGGAATCACCAACAAACAGAACTTAACTGGGAAGAGTCAAATTCTGAGACCTCATTAGAAGCTTCTTATGCCACTTATGTTCTCCACAGTATACTCCTGCCTCTGTACTGTTACCATCTTGACCATATACTGGAGGACAAGAGCCTTAGGGCCCGTAGGGCTGGAGAACCTACTTTTGTTTGACTCAGACCTGAGAGCACCTTTGCAGAGGGCATGTGGAGCAGTGGGAATGGAGGGGTGGAAGAGACAGACCTGTATGAGCCCCTCTTACTTGCTCTCTGACCTTGGTCAAGTTGCTCAGAGCTAGAATTTTATCTCTAAAATAGAACTTGGTGAGGACTACATGGTTAACTTAGGGAAAGTTGTCCAGCACTGAATGGTTGATGATAAACTGGTTCCCTCCATGTTCACCTTAGAGATATTTACAGCCTTTTATTGATTTATTACCACGTGCTGAACATTGTTTAAGTGCTATATGTCTGTTATTTCATTTAATCCCCTCAACTTCCTGTAGTCTCAAACAGCTTTAGTGGTTGAGTGTCTCTTGCCAGGCGCAGGGCTTTGGTTAAAGCAGAGCATACATACTTCCAGCCTTTCCTCCATTCCTCCTTTCATATGGGTGGGATGAAGCAGTGAACCTTCTTGGGAAAAGAAATCACATCTTTGGACCTTTCCCTAGGAGATGCTTCCTGGACTTCATGTTCCCTTAACTCCCAGCATCTTTGTCTGATGACACACCTGCAAAGAACTGGGGAAGAGCATTCCAGGCAAAGAGAACAGTGAGTGCAATGACCCTGAGGCACAAAACTAAGTGGTAATTGCAGCAACAAAAAGGAAACTAGTGTGGCTAGAGCAAAGGGAATGATGAAGAGAATAGTTGAAGGTTGGAGGTAGACAAAGTCCAGGTCATTGCAGGGCTTAGTATGAAGGTGTACCAGTAAAAATAGACCAGTTGAAAGTTACTTCAGTAGTCCTGAGGACGAGGGTAGTGGCAGAGGAGATAAAAGAGGATGGACCTGATGCATTGGGTGTAGGGAAAGAAATAGGACTCCTCCATTTCCAGCTTGAGCAGCTGGGTGGGGAGTGGTACCATTTACTGAGAGGGAAACTGTGGAGGAGGTCAAGATTTGAGAACCTGGTCACGTGCTCCATTTTGGACATAAATTTGAGATGCCTGGTAGACAATCCAGTGGAGACATCAGACATCCTGATTCACATGCAAGCCTCGAGTCCAGGCAGAAGTCCCCAGGGAACACCAACAGAGGTCAAGTAGAGAACGAGCCAGAGTTGGAACCATGGAAGTCGGAGAAAACCAGAATTTGGGAGCCACAGAGAAGAGTGTTTCAAAAAAGAGAAAGTGGTCAGCCTATCAAGTGCTGCTAAGTCCAGAGAAAAAGGCCTTTGGATTTGACATTGTGGCTGTTGATCACCTTGCTGAGTGGATTTCGGTAGACTGGTGGGGGTAAAAGCCAGATTGAAGTGGGTTAAAGAGTGAATTGGGGGTGAGGAAGTGGAGGTAGAGGTATAGCAATCTTTCAAAAACTTTTAACTGCAAGGAAATAAATGGGGAAAGAGACCCTAGAACGTGAGTGCTTTGGGGAGTGATGTAGTAGATGATTGTGTAGATGGAGAGACTGATGGATACAGGAAAGAAAAGATGCCTAGCGAATGAAATCCTCAAAAAGAGCTGAATTAGCATCGGGGACACACACACACGCACGCACACACACGTAGTCACGAGCATTCATGCTGACACATACAGACCCACCACCAATGGTCATGGTAACATATCACACAGACCTAACAGCCAGACTGACACATTTACACACAGGCCCACGAAGTTACAAGAGTACATGTACAGCCCTGGGATTCACACACACACACACACACACACACACACACACACACACACACAGAAGTAACAGACGCTGACAAAGCAAATAGACCCACTCTCTATACCCCTCACACAGAGGTGCCCACAGCCCCTTCCAGTGATTCCTCCTTAGAGGCCCCTTGCTCTCTTGAGAGGCAATCCAGGCCTGGGCTGAAGAAGGACAGGGAGGTTTCATACCCAATGAATAGGTTTTATTAAGAATGAGAAAGCCATCGGAGAGTCAAAGAGGTACATGGACTGCAGGGTCAAGAGAAACAACAGCAAGTACAAAATCCCCATGACAACCTCAGGGTCCCTGATACAATCTTTCTTCCTTCCCGGCCCACCCACAGCCCTTTGCGAGCAAAAACTCCCTCTCCATCCTGGTCCAGCCGGACGTCTTGGTGTGTAAGCAGAAAACAGTGAAATGAGTCCTCCACTCATTGGGATAAATAAGTTGCACTCGACATTTTTAAACTTTCAAATTTAATTACAACATACATAAATAAATAGGACAAACAGCAATAGGACTGTGAAGTGCAGCCTGGATTCAAGTTCTGTAATTTGTGCTTTATCTTTGCTCCTTGGGGTTTCCTCCTGCCCACTTCTTTCCAAGAGTGGGATGGTTCCAAGAAACCCACGGGGGCCCCCTGCCAGCACCCCTTTTCTGGGGGTAGGAGATTCTGGGATGAGGGCACCAACTCCTCAGCACCTCTGGTTTGTTAACAATTTCCCTCCTGCCATCAGTAAAAACAGCAAGGTTTTGGCCTCTAGGAGAATCCACCGCCGCCCAGGTGCCCTGAGGCACAGGGCTCAGCCACAAAACCAGGCTTCTCCATGCCAATTCCCTGTCCAAGCACTTCTCAGCAATCAAGGGTCAGAAAATTGCACCCATGCGACAGACATCTGGGCCCTTAACTTACCAACAAACCATCGCAGAGAGGCCACCTCCCCTTCTCCCTCTCACCCACGGTCTCTGGATGAATGTTCTCTTTCTTTCCTGATTCAAGCTCCACCTTTTAATCCTTTCGGGCCCACCCCCAGGAACTAAGGCCTCATTTCAGGCCTTGGGAAACGCTCTGGGATGAGGCAGTGGAAGAAGCATTTATTTCCTGTGCTTGGCATCCTTCTCTGAAGCCTTGGTGTCACCATGCCCACTGCCCGCACCACTTAGAAACATCTTGTCCAGCCCCTTGAGTGACTCCAGCAAGTAGTTCTGGAAGGCAGAAAGGGCAGCACAGATGGCGGGCCCACCAAAGCCATGGGTGATAAGGCTAAAGTGTGTCAGGCAACTCTGTACTCCGGGCTCCAGGATGAGTGCTGGGCGGCTGTTGCCCAGTGGTGAGCGGTCCTGAGCCATCAAATCTGCAAACTCCTTGCAGATCTGCCTGGTGGAGGGAGGAAGCAGGGGTGGAGGTTAGAGGACAAAGGTCTGAGCCGAGAGAAGGACCTACTGTGTGCAGGCAATTTTTATATATTTATGATTGCTGACACTGTCAATAGTCTGCAAGTGATGGTCATACCCATTTTACAGAAAAGGAAACTGGTTTGGAGACATTAACTGACTTGCCCAATGTCACACAGCTAGTAAATGGCATATGCCAATACCCTACCATCTCTGCCTGTGGATGTCCTGCCCACATTCACAATCCAGCTCTACTACCTTATCCAGGAAGCTTTCCTTGATCCCTTCCCCACTCCCATCCCAAACACCCAGTGCTTCACAGAGCTTTTTCTTTGAAATAATTAGGGAACAATCCAGAATCTGCCTTGAAGAACTAAAATAATAGTGGTGAATATGAATTGAGGCCTAGATGCTGTGCCAAGAACACTGTATGCGTCATCTCACTTAATCCTCACAACAGATACATACTGTTATTAACCATTCTCACCACGTAAGAAAACTGGTTTCAGATAGGTTTGGTGACCTGCCCAAGTGACTAAGCTGGGATTTGAGTCTAGCTCCAGTTCATGGCCACTATTCATTTCTTTGCATCCTGCATGTGGCTCAGGAAGGAGAACATAACTCCTGTCTCACCTCTGCCTCACCGTGGAAGCCAGTCAGCATTTTACACAGGACCAGGCCCCAGAGTTGATAAGTTCATTGATGAATGAGCAAGGAGAGTCCTGTCCTGGATATGTTTCTCCAGCTACGATATGAACTCACACGTCCCAGGAGACACAGCAGGTCTTTGAGTCTGTGACTCCATTTCTGCCTTAGAAGCCCTGAAGGAGGGAGAGTGGAGGTGGGGGACTGGATGTTGTTCTAAGCAGCAGGTGTGAGGGCAGGATACAGCCAGAAAGTCAGTTGCGGTGGGTGGGGTTTGGGCTGGCCAGATTGTAGGGTCCTCAAAGGAGTCTGGACTTAACCCTTCTTACCTCTTTCTGCCTCTTCTTGCAATGGGACCCTTCTAAAAATGAAATCTGAATGGAATACCAGTTCATTAAATAGGCCCTAAGGCATCGCACAGGACCTAGTTTGAAAATCAATGCAGTAGCTGGGGGGGTGGGGTGGGCATTGAAGGTTCTCGGGCAGAGGAGCAGTGCACGTGCAGGAAATCTGAGGGAATGGTTGGGCACTGGGATGAGGTCTAGGAGTGAGATTAGGAGACCAGAGTTGAGGTTGTAGCATGTGAGTGGTGGTGAGGGAGCCACCAAGGGGATTTGCAGAGGGGTCAGGTGTGAAGCAAGGACAAGAGAGGGTCAGCTTGCAGCTCGGTATGTCTTGGTGCCCTGAGGGAAGTCACCGGAGCAAAAGGGCCTATGGGCAAGGCTCAGGCAGGGGAAGCAAGACCACCATGTTGGGACTGGGGCCGGTGATGCCATGGGGCAGTGTATGGACGTGTGGGACGCACACATGGGCCTGTGTAAGCCTGTCTGTGACACCATTTTTGCTGATGCATAGAACCCAGAAATGTTCACGTGTCCACGTGTGTCCCTGTGGGGCCACTTGCACATCATGTGTACATGTGAGTGGTGTCCAGTGCACCCATGCTTGGTGTTTGTGTCTGCATTGCACCTACACGTGCCTATGCATGGTGCCCCAAAGCACCCATGCGTGGCGCCCTCACTCACTTGGCGGCCAGCAGCATGCTCTTGCGGCTGTGCAGTTCCCCGGGGTCAGCGTGCTGTCGGCACAGGTACTCGGCAGCTGCCTTGGCTGGGAACTCAGTCTCACAGACGTAGCCAAAGTCTCGGGCCAGGTGCACGGCCTCTCCTGCGGGGAGGAGAGGCAGAGCAATGAGCTGTCACTACAGCCAGGTGTACCTCTGAGCCTGGAGCACAGCCTTGGACCTCAGACCCCCTGGCCAGGGACTATTCTGCCCCATCCTACTTCTATAGATACTTCCTATGGTTTCCCTCCCAGAGCAGCCTCAGACCTAATCCCGTTGCTCTTGGGGCTGTGGAGGATGGGCTCTGAGCTCAGGGGTGGCAGCTGAGGCCACCATGTATCCCAGAGCCTGGGCTCGAGATGATCGAGCCCAGGGTTGTCAACGTCCAGGGAAGGGACTCTTATCCCCTCATCCCTTTACCACCTCCAAACACTGGCCACGCCTCCCCTACCCCCACCTCACCCCCATGCACCTGCATGTGTATGCATGCCCATGCACATAAAGACTATACACATGTATCACACACACCCCTTACTCATACATGACACACCCTCTTGTCTCAGGGACAGCCACACGCTGTCACACTGGGTGACATAGTTCCCCTCATGCTCACACTGACACCCATCCTCAGGCCTCACTCACCCTCCACCAGTGAAGTCAGAAGTGTCACATTGGCGGCCTTGCGACGGCCAGCTGGCAAATTGAGCCCAATCTTCTCTAGCCGTTCACGCAGGCAGCGGCCTCCATTCTTGGACTTGGCCCTTGACATGCACAGGGGAGAGAGACAAACAGACACTATGAAGACAAGAAAGAAGCGTATGTCTAAATGATCCCAACAGGCCCTTTCTGCCTCCCAACAGCCTGTGCCAAGGCTTGGGTCTGGCCCTGGGGATGTTCAGGGGCCTCTCTCAGCCTCTTCCCAATATCTTCCTAACCTCACTGGCTTTGCAGCCAAGATGGGGGTGGGGGGGTCTAGCACCCTGCTGTAAGAGCCACTCATATCTCTCCAATCCTGTCAACAGCAGGGATGGCCTGGGGTGGGGAAGGGTAGGCCAGAATCTTGGGGTCCTTTTTCCCCACTTTAGCATACAAGCTGAGCCATACACAGATACCCAGGGACACACAGACCCATGTGCAGAACATGCACACAGAGAGACATAGGGACACACCGTCACCCAGGGACACATATATAAACACACACAAATGAACACACACCCAGGGCAATAACGACACACACACATACCCACAGAGTCAGGCATATGCAGACACACGCAGACTTAGACACTCAGGGACACAGAAACACATGTTCACACCAAGCCAGGATCCCAGGGACATATGTACTGACAGTCATGGACTCATACAAGCCTCTCTGGGGTGCTCAAAGAGACCAAGAATAGAGATACGCCCACATGTGCACAAATGCAGCCTCCACACAGAGCTACAGACCTGTAAACACACATATGTCTACCTCCAGAAGCACGTGCAATCACACACAGAGCAGGACACACTCCAGCCAACACACCCCACTAGAAGTAACACAGGAAACCCACACTCATGAGAACATATACTTCTGGCTGTCCCCCATACACACACACACACAAACACACTGTCCTCAGACACATCAAAACTCCCAGCCCTGAAGCACAAATACTCTCCCCAGGCACAAGGATGTGCACAGAGAGGGACAGACACCAAACTATGAAGACAGACCATGGACTTCAAAACACAAACACACCAGAGAGGTCCATGCTCCACAGGGAATGGGGCGTCCCTTCCTTGGGGCAGGGGATGAAGACGGCATTTTCTCTTCTCCAGACCCAGCCTTGTCTGTTCTGCCCAAAATGGTTAAGCCCTCCATCCCTTCTCTGTGACCAGGCATCTTTCCCCACCTCCACCCCCAAGCCCACAGACCTGTAGGAGCTGCTGGGGACCTGGGCCTGCCCCCCAGAACAGGCACAATTCCCCAAGGAGGCAGAAATGGAGATGAGGCTGTGGCCTGGGGTGAGACTGGCCCCTCTGTGCTCCCCTAAGGAGGTGTGAAATGACCTCGGATTTGGGCAGGGAACTGTGGGCTGACTGTCCTACCTGCGAAGGACACCGCCCAGGAGGGAGGCATTGAGGCACTCGGGAGGTGAGAGTCGTCGCTGGACCTCCCCCACCGTCACCTTGTACTTGGATGTCGAGCTGAGCAGAGAGAGCCGGCCTGGCACGGAGCAGAAGACCTCACTGGGGTTCGTGATGCCACCAACCAGGCTGTCTTTGGCCAGTGAGAGGGCCGAGAGGCTGCTGGCTTTGGAGGGGATGGGAACTGCAGAACAGAAGCAAGAGCACGGGAGAGAGAAACACTGAGCCAGGGACCACAGGGCACCGGCTCTAGGCAGCTGTGCAGTGGGAGAGTCGAGGAAGCACTGACTGTGTGCTGGGCACCATGCCACATGCAGGCACACAGCTGAGTCTAAACATCGCAGCGCTTGAGGGCTATCCTACTGTCCCTGCTTCCCAAAAGAAGAGACTGGGGCACACTGAGGTTAACATGATTCACTCGAGTCCACTCAGCTAATGGGTGGTGGAAATTGAATCTGGAATTGCCTGGGTCCTGAACCTGCGTTCCTTTGCTGAGCGAGGCTGGTTCCTTATTAAAACTCAAAAAGCTTCTGCAGAGTCCTGGAGTCTGGGCAGGTGCAACCAAAGAGAAGGTTGGAAATACAGAGACAGGCTCCCTGAGTCACTGCAGCAGGGCCCAGCTAGGTCTGCACAAACGAAAGGAGTCCCCAGCTTCCCCTGCCTGCTTGTGATCCCCACATTCCACCCTCAGACCAGTGAAGGCCTGGAGACTTTGGACTCCCACATGTCAGGGGCAGGAAGGTTATGCCCCCATTAGGCCTCTGACGCTGTCCCCATCCCTACCAAGTCACTATGGGATGCTCAAGGAGACAAGAATAAAGAGACACACTCCACAGCCCCTTTCCCAAAAACTATCGACTAATCTATGTAGGACAGAGAAGGGACTCTTTTCTCAAACCCACTTAGATGCTCTTGGCTCAGAAAGAAAGTTCTTCCTCCATGCTCTTGCTTAGCCTCAAGTGGAAGAGAAAATAATCGAAGTACTTGCTTCCACTTGGGCTTCTCTTCCTCCAAGGAAGTGAGAGCCTTGGGAGAGACGGTGGTCCTTGTGTGTGGGTTTGGGGTGTGTGTGGATTAGTGGGAAGCCTGGGGCCAACAGTTAACTGAACACTCGCTGTGCTATGTGCTCACATGGATAACTTCACTGAATCCTCAGAAAAATCCATGAGGGGGCTATGTTTACTATTCCCATTTTATAGATGAGGAGACTGGAGCCCAGAGAGGTGAAGCAGTGTGCCTGAGATCACACAGCTGCTAGACTGAGAACCAGTAGCAAGCCCTGGACTGTGGTCTCAAAGGCAGCACTCTTAGCCCTCAGCCATTCAGCAAATATTTGCCGAGCACTGTGTGCCAGGGAACCCAGAGGTAAGCAAGGCTGACCGGTTCCCGGCCTGGCAGAGCCCCTCCAGCTTTTCTGTCTCTGGATGTGCATTCCCACCTTCCACCAGGCCCCCAGCCAGAAACCTCAGTGGTGCCTCCACACTGCCCTCTCCCACCACATTCTGTCCGTCACTTTGCCCTGAGGCTCTCATTTTCCCACTGGGCCCTGGATGCAGTCACTTCTCCACAGGTGCACAGACGCTCACTCACTTCCTACCCCAAATTTGGCACAGCTCTGTTCTGGTCTCCCTGCCCTGCTTCAGAGGGATCTTTCCGAAACACATTGACCTCCAGACTAAAACCCATCAGTGCCCATCACTTCCCTGTGAATCAAATGCCAGCGTCATAGCAGGCAGAATGATGTCGCCTATCATGAGTGCCAACTGTATACCAAGTGGACAGCTCTGTGAGGTAGATACTATTACCCATCCCCATTCCAAACTGAAGAAACTAAGAGTTCAGGAGGTTCGAATGGATGGTACAGCAAGTAGGGAGCAGAAATGGGTCTTGAACTCTGATCACAGACTCCAAAGTTCACATCCTTAATCATAGTGCCTTCCATATAACACCCTCTTAGTGTTCTGGCTGCTGCCTGCCCCTCTTGCCTGGTTCCACAGTTGTCCTCTAGGCTCTTAACCCACACTGATCAACAGAAATATACTGTGAGCCACATATATAAATTCAAGTTTCCTAGTACCCATTTTAAAAAAAGTGAAAAGAGAGGTGCCTGGGTGGCTCAGTCAGTTAGGCTCTGACTTCAGCTCAGGTCATGATCTCACAGTTTGTGGGTTCGAGCCCCGTGTGGGCTCTGTGCTGACAGCTCAGAGCCTGGAGCTGCTTTGGATTCTGTGTTTCCTTCTCTCTTTGCCCCTCCCCCGCTCACACTCTTATCTCTAAAAAATGTTTTTAAGTAAAAAGAAAACATGTGAGGTCAATTTTAATATATTTTATTTTCCCCCATGTGTCAAAAATACTAGCACGGAAACACGTAATCACTATTTGAAAATTATTAATGAGCCATTTTACCTTCTTTCCTTGTACTTAGTCTTCAAAATTCAATGCGTGTTTTGCATTTATAGACCATCTTAATTTGGACTAGCCACATTTCAGGTGCCCAATAGCCACATGAGCCTGGTGGCTCCCACAGTGGACAGCGCAGCTCTAGACTTCAAAGAGGGAGCACAACAGGTAACAAGGAAGCAAGGTGTGGGGGACCGGGGGCGCCCTGTGGAAAGCCGCTACTTGGCTGAGGGTTACCCCTTAGGACACACCAACAGTGCCAGAACTCCGGGTTGGTTTGTTTGCTGATGAAACCAGGATTCTGGATTTCTATGTGGAATCTCTGGGCCTTTGGACCCTGATGACCAATTCAAAAATTTAAAAACCCAGCACAAGCTGCATGGAACACAGTGAAGTGCCACCTGGGATGGGGGACCATCAGCGTGTGAGCTCTTTGAGCCCCACAGAACTGCTCACTGTCCATCCCCACCCCCACCCCCACCCCCACCCCCACCCCCAGCAGGCCTCCTCCTTCCCAAGTGTCAGTGTGGGCACCATCCCCAGGGCATAGCTTCCTGGCCCCACGACCCCAGCCCCCTGTCTCCCTCCAGCCCTGACCTTACCACACTGAACCTTCGTGTCTGCTTCCACAGCTGTCTTCCCTCCCAGCCAGCAGTGCCTTGAGGGCAGGGTCTTGGCATAAATGGGCATCAGTGAATGTGGGATAAATGAGTGGAGCAAGGGCCCTTGAAACCTGAAATGGGAAAAAGAGTGATGGCCCACAGCCCAGATTGGGGGAGAGGGTGGGCGCTGGGAGAGCCTCATCCCTTTGTTAGTGATTGGTAGTAAAAGTGCCCTTCCTCCTGGGGTCCCCACTCAGGCACCAAGGAGGGGCCAAGAGATAAGGGAGAGGTGGAAAAGGGCGGAGGTTGGGGTGGTGGTGGTGGTGGTGGTGGATGTAGGGAGAATGAACAGCACACACTCTACCCCAGGCAAGTTCCCTGTCCCCAGAGCAGGACCAACTAGGGTGAGGCTAGTAAGGCACTCGCCTTGGGAGCAAAATTTAAGGGGGCACCAAAAACTCAGCAAGCGTGATAAACGGTACTTTAATCCAATCTTTTAAAAAATATGAATTAATGTAAAAAAGCCCTGGTGACAAAATATCAACATTTTAATTAGAAACAGGCTCTGATCCTGCCTCGCTGACCTTTTCCTAAGCCGAGTCCCCTCCCAGAGTGCGGAGCAAAGATGTCCTAACTCAACAGACACATGGACACGGGACAGGCAACCACAGCCATCCCCACCTCCCGCCCCAGTGTCTCCCAGGCCTGTGCACAGGCTCCCTCTTCACCTCTGTCCCTCTGCCTTGAGGGGACTTTTTTGGGGGTGATGGAACTATTCTATATCATATTGTGGTAGTTATATGAGTATATGTTTATATTTGTCGAAATTCAGAGACATGTACACATAAGGTTACTTATACCTCAAGCTTGACTTAAAAAAAAAAAACCTACAAATTAATAAGTTAAAAATAAAAAGAAGGGCAGAATGACTATCCTCCCTCCCATGACCCCTAGCCAGAGGGAGTAGTCAGAAGGAACAGAAAATTCTCTCCTCCAGCAACCTCCTCCATCCCAACTTCTATTCAAACGAGGGGCTCCCTGAGGCCAGGCCCCATAAGACAGGAGGGAGACCGAGGCTGTGTGGGGCTGTTTGTGCATGTGCAAATAGGGACATATGTGAGCATACGTGTGTCTCAAATGACTCTACACAAACCATGATGCCTGTCACGGACAGAGCAAGGAGCAAGGTTGTGCATGTGTGCACCTACTCACTGAAGGAGCGCTAATCCCCAGCTGTACACACAGACATAGTTTCTGCCCTCCTGAGTGTTGTAGGAATGTGGCAGCATGCATATGGATATCTGCGAGTGCTTTTGCTCCTGTTGATACAGTTAAACAGAGTGTATGCTGGATTTATGCAAATACAGGTGCTGCTAAGTGTAGGTGCATGACAGGTGGATGTTTGTGTATGTGAATGACAGACTTTGCTGCTTCCCCCCACTTGTCCTCAGAGCTTCTTCCCTCAAAAATGTCAAGAAGGACGGAACCCAAGGTTAGGAAGGGGGTGGCATGAGAAAGGGACAGTCATGGAGGTAAGAATTAAACTAGCACAGACTGCAAAGCAGGGACACGGGTGTTTGCCTCCCGCACCACAGTGACTCCCGAGGCTGAAGTGGTATATTCATGGTGTCCCACCCCACACCCACCCCCATCACACAAGCAGAAGCCATTTACACACACACACTCCTACTACAGACACAAGAGCACCTAGTTGTTCAACGTGTCAGACAAGACTCACACCTGTCTACACACTCCATCCACAGGTGGTAGATACTGTCTGACCACTGAATGTGGGGAGTGTGCAACAGATTCTCCCAGAAGGCTGGTTAAAATATCAATTCCGTCTAGAAGAAAACATAGGAGAAAAATCTTTTTGCTGGGAAACGAGTTCCTGGATACAACCCTAAAAAGCATGATCCATAAAAGAAAATAAAGTGGACTCAGTAAAATTAAAAATTTTTGCACCTCAAAAGACATTATTAAGGGAGCACCTGGGTGGCTCAGTTGGTTAAGTGTCCAACTTCAGCACAGGTCATGATCTCGCAGCTCGTGGGTTCAAGCCCCATGTCAGGCTCTGTGCTGACAGCTCAGAGCCTGGAGCCTGCTTTGGATTCTGTGTCTCTCTCTCTCTCTGCCCACCCCCAACTTGGACTCTGTTTCTCTCGCTCAAAAATTAATAAAACATTTTTTAAAAATTAAAAAAAGACACTATTAGGAAAATTAAAAGACAAGCCATAAACTTGAAGAAAATATTTGCAAATCACATATCTGATCAAGGATGACAATCCAAAATATGTAAAGAAGGCTTGTAACTCCATAATAAGATAAACAACCCAACTGGAAAATGGTCACAATATGTGAATAGATATCACTAAAAATGATACATGAATGGCTAGTAAGCACGTGAAAAAGTGCTCAACATCGTTAGTCATTAGGGAAATGCAAATTAAAACTATACTGAAGTACACTAGGATGGCTATTATAAATCAATCAGGTGTAGGTGAAGATGTGGAGAAACTGGAACCCTCCCACGTTGCTAGTGGAAATGTAGAACAGAAGAGCCCCCTTAGAAAATGGCATGCCAGTCTCTTAGAAAATGAAATACAAACTTACCATAACATCCAGCAATTTCATTCCTAGGAATTTACCTAAGAGGGATGAAAACATATGTCCACACAAAGACATGCATATGAATGATCACAGCAGCATTATTCATAGTAGCCAAAAAGTGGAAACAATCCAAGTGTCAACTGATGAATGGATACATGAGATGTGTTTCCTCCATGCAATGGAGTACAGCTCAGCAACGCGAGAAGAAACCAACTACTCTCAACTACTCTCACCTGCTATGACACGGATGAACCTCAAAAACATTATGTTTAGTAAAAGAAGCTTGATGCACCGTTTGCATATTTATATATTCCTTTGATATATCATGTCCAGGATAGGGAAATTTATAGAAAGAAAGATCAGTGGTTGCCTAAGGCTTGAGGTGAGAATAAGAATTAACTACAAACGGGAATGAGGGAATTTTGGGGAGGGTGATGGAAATGTCTTAAGATGGATTGTGGGGCCACCTGGGTAGCTAAGTTTGTTGAGCCTCTGACTCTTGACTTGGGCTCAAGTCAAGATGATCTTACAGTTTGGATGGTGAGTTCAAGCCCCACATCAGGCTCCTTGCTGTCAGTGCAGAGTCCACTTCAGATCTTCTCTGTCCCCCTCTCTCTGCCCCTTCCCCACTAGCATTCTCTCTCTCTCTCTCTCTCTCTCTCAAATAAATGAACTTAAAAAAAAAAGGCAGATTGTGATAATGGCTACACAAGTCCATAAATTTACTAAAAATCATCAAATTTTACTCTTAAATGGGTGAGTTTTAGGTATGTAAGTTTTACTTCAACAAATCTGTTAAAAAATGCAAGTTCCAGGGCCACACTTCCACAGACTCTCACTCAAATAGGTGTGGAGTGGTGCCCAGGAAATCTGCATTTAAAAGTTTTTTTTAATGTTTGTTTATTTTTGAGAGAGACAGA